TTTTTTTTGTTTCACATGATGTTTAAAAAGCAGTATAGGTTATTTTTATGCTCTTTTTCTTGGATGAATCTAATTACAAAGTTGTCTCATGGGATGAGTGGGGGCTTATTCTTATTTCTGGCTCCTGAAATAAAACATAAAAAAATCTGGAAAGAAGTTGCAAACTGCTTCTTATTGTTGCCCAGAAAATCATTTGGACTCATCCACAAAGTCAATCACTTAAACTCAATGAAACTTTATTAAAGACTTATAATAAAAATCAGTGAGTGGCCAGTAAGTTCCAGTGCTGCTATACTATCACAGGGAAACTAGAGCACCTTAATGCAAACCTATAGCCAGTAGTGGGATTCAGCCAATTCACACCAGTTCAGCAGAACCAGTAGCTATTTTTTTGTTGCCCAGGCCCAGAATGGACTTCCGGAAGCGGCATCCACACAGAGAACTGGTTGTTCACATATTTGAATCCCACCACTGCCTATAGCTCTGATTTATTATGAAATATTAAAAAGTATCCATAACTATTTCTCTTTAAAATGTGTTGTTTCTTAATTTAGATATATAGTCTATTTAATTTAGATATATTGAACCAAATGGTTTTTATCTTCCATTCAATGGATTGATTATGATAGCGTGTGACAGAATTTTAAAAAATAAGTCACATGAGGAGGACAGAATTAAAAATGCTTAGACTAAAAAAGAAAAAGAACAGGGGGATACAGTAGCATTTTTCTGATACCTGGAAAGGAAACAACACAGAAGAAGTTCAAGACCTGTAGTTTATTGTTCCAGAGTGCAGGAGACAGAATAATGGATTTATTGTAAATTCCAACATGGTAGATTCTAATGAAAGAGTCAGTTTGGATGTGACAGTATCTGGAAATAGCAGAGTAAAAGAGAAAGAACTGGAGAAAAATCACAAAATATTTGCAAATAGAAGTAGAACCGTGGCAAGAGAAAGCAAAGATAATATCAATTGTAATAGTGTTGTCTAACTTGGAAAGTTGCATCCATCCCTGAGGCTTCAAGATTTCTTCTCCTCAGCTAATCCTCCCTCCCATCTCAGAATTACAGATGGCCTAGACCAGAGATCCTCAACCTTTTGGGCACCAGGGACTGGAGAGAGGTTTTTCCGTGGACCGGAGGGTGTGTGGTTTTGTGTGCTGCCTGCATCCCACGGATGGGGCTTTGTTTGTGCAGACCGGTTGCTGGCATGCCGCGGCCCGGTACTGGTCCACGGACCAGGGGTTGGGGACCCCTGGCATAGACTCTTAGATTGAGACTGGGAAAAGGATCCCAATCCAATCAGACCATTCCACCAACACTTACTGATTATTTCTGAGGAAAGTTCTGCATTTAAAACTTAGACCTATACATCTAACTAATGAGTAGTTTTATTTGGGTCTTTTTTGAATCAATAGAAGAGAATATAGGTAGCTCAGGATTGTTAATTGGATAATAAAACATCTGCAAGCAAACAATCAGGCTCAGAAAGAACCAAGGAATTCAGAGTTCTTTTTTTGAATGTGGAGCTTTTTAGAAAATAAGGAAAAGAATCTCCAGTTTTCCCATATTCAGGAATGTTGAGTGGACTAAGGTCAAAAGACGATGCCGAGTTATTACATCATTTGGATGAAAATGCTGCACTTGCTCAGCACTGATGATGTTACCTAGTTTGGGTAATGAAATGTCTCATTTCAACCCTGAGCAACAAATATTCTCCTTTACTGCTCTACTTACCATTGCACATTCCAATATTCTTTCGATCATGCTGCAGATAATAGCTGAGGACAGTGGTGGGATTCAAATATGTGAACAACCGGTTCTCTGTGTGGATGCCACTTCCGGAAGTCCATTCTGGGCCTGGGCAACACAAAATTAGATACCGGTTCTGCCGAAGTGGTGCAAACCGGCTGAATCCCACCACTGGCTCAGGACAGAGAGAAGCCTGGTCAGAGCTTTCCTTCTCCTTCTACAACCTCTTCTGTCAAACAGGTCTTGGTTTGCTTAAGCCACTATTTGATACCTTCAGTTTCCTTATTGTCTTGAAAATATAAACTGGTTAAAAGTGTTGCACCATATTTCCATACACAGTGACAGTTTGGATATGTGGTGGTGATACAAGAGGTCCATGACAGATTCAAAGGTAAAACAGATTAATTACTAAAGGAGGTAGATGGGTATGTTGTTGACATATCTCATCTTCCCATTATGATATGGAATTCAAAGGTTTTGAATGCATCACCATCATACCATACCAAGAAATAACTGTGCTGAAAAACTTGATTATCACCATCTTTTCTCTGATCACTCTTGCTCTTTAATTCTCTTTTGCACCAGAGTTTGTAGAGCTTTGGGTTTTGTTTTTGTGTGTGTGTGTGTGTGTGTGTGTTCAAGGGGATCCTCTCCTGGCTACAATCAGAGAGAAGAAAGATTTCCTGGGATTCTTCTGTTAAAGCAAATGGATGCAGCATTGTTTTCTTTACTTTTTTCCCTGCTGCCTATATGGGCACAAATATCTTACTTGCCAGATCAGAGATAGCATGCCTCTAAATACTAGTAATGGGGGGGGGGGGGGGAATGAATGGAAACTGCTCTTCTGCTCACAATTTGCTCACAAATATTGACACCTCAGCCCATTTTCTTAGTTATAAAAGGGAAGACTTTGATGGAGTTCTCTTACATCATCTCTTTTGTATGTGTGTGTGTGTGTGCACATCTGGAGAGGCCACTTGATTGTATTTGTTGGAAATGGGGAAGAAAAACTACTTCCAGAAAAAGAATCACCTTCCAACTCCACATGATCTGCAACCGGTCCTTCTTAAATGGTTTTCCTTTGGGATATGGTAGATCAGTTCACATACACGGAAAGTAATGTGCAATTTGTTTGAAGCTACCGTCACTCATACAAGCAGGGGCCTCCGCAGAGGGGGCATAGGGGGAAGTCTGGATCATGACATCATGACCTATATGCTACAACTTACATTGCCCCAAGTATGTATCTTCTTCATGCGCAAAACATATTTATGAAATATTACTTCACGGTATATTTTGCAGCTCTTGCATCTCTCTCTCTCTCTCTCTCTCTCTCTCTCTCTCTCTCTCTCTCCCTCCCTCCCACCCTCCCTCCCTCTCTCTCTCTCTCTCTGGTCAAAAACGGGAAATGACTTTAGAAGTTGTCATGAAATGTTTTAGTATTTTATATGTTAAAAGCCAAACTCATGTTTGGTGGGATGAAACTCACAAATGGAACACACAGCTAGAGGGATTTAAATTATTTAAAAGAAACAGACCAAACAAAAGAGGAGGCGGAGTTGCTCTCTATATAAGAAGTAACTACATCTCTACAGAAATGGAGCACAACAATGATGAAAACTGTCTTGAATGCATTTGGGTCAATATAAAAGGGGGAAAAATGACATTGCCATAGGTGTATACTATAGGCCACCCAACCAAACCGAGGAAATAGATGAACTTTTTGCTAGTCCGCTAACTAAGGTATGTAGGAAGCACATCACAATAGTAATGGGGGACTTTAATTACCCTGACATCAACTGGGAGACAAACTCTGCACCAAGTGGAAGATCATGTGTCTAGATAGTCACAGATAGAGTAATAGTCATGATCCAAGAAAGAAAAGACTCCAAGGTTCCTTCCAGATAGATCTTTTATTGTACATTGGCAGCAGCAATTTGTGATGGTTATCATGATGACATAGTTATCCATTACACACCTAATCCCATTATAACCCTTTTGGCTCCATTCCTTTCCCTTAGCTAATGAAGATTTCATTTACATACTAGGAGCCAGAGCAAACACCATTGTCAAAGATATCAATATTCCATAGCATTTCTGAGCAATTCTAGATCACCTGGAGCAATGGTAGAACTGGTACAACGTGTTGGCAATGAATGACATAATTTTCAGTTAGAGAGAGTGCTTTGCTGAGTGCCGCAGTACTCACATTTGCTCTTTGCAGCTACTCTCCTTTCCACCTGGAGTTATCCTGATTTTTTACTTTGAACACTAGAAGAACTGAGAATTCAGGATAAGGAAAACCTGTTCTTCTATATATGCAGAATCTGAACTGGTCAAGGAGGTGGACATACAGTAAATATTTATAGGACATGTTTCTTTGCAATAAGACACTTAACCAAGAATGAAGGGTATGAATGACACCTTAGAATCCTCCAAACAGGAAAGGTAAGAAAGCAACCTCATAATATGAAATATTCACAACAGTCAAGAAGAACAGGAATTTCAACCCCCAAAATAAATATTTACTTATTAAAGAACAAGATTTAACAATAACTTTAACCAGTGAATGAAATGCAAAAAATGATTATGGAGTGCAGTGTGGATCTCACTATCAACAGCTATTAGCTTAAAAACATTTAGAGTCAATCTTTTCTGCTGGAAATCAAAAAGAAAATTTGGTCTTTTTTTAATAATTTGAGAAGTTAGTACTAATTACTTTAGAACAAACTTTCCACAGAACCTGTGTTATACATCTTTTTCATTCTTATTCTTTTGTTGACTTATAACTATAATAATGTACTTCCTAAAATTCTGATTAAGGGATGCTAAGGTAGATCTTTGATATGAGGAATGCAAAAAATCTACAGGAAATTAAAATAAACACCATGTATTTAATGAGTGCCATTGGATCCTGTGGTTTGTCAATATTGTTGCAAATACCTTCATTCCCTCTAAGTGCCTAAAGCAGTGAAATAATCCTGTCTGCTATTTCTCCTGTCCTTCAAATAGCAGTAGAACTAAATTCTCATGAATTAAAGCATAATGGAATGACATGATTTCTGCTTCTTGCAACAAGAAACACAAATTGGAGGCAAGGATTGTTTAACTTGGGAAAGCAGAATAGATCATACACAAGGCATGACAGACCGATAGATAAGGTGCTTTCATCTAACTGTGACAATGACAGCATTTTGGCAATTCAATTCACTTTTATTTTTAGAAAAAAACATCAACAGTTTTAGGTGGGCAATGCTGAGACTCAGGCCCTGTGTGGAGATGAAGCTGCTATAAACTAAACCGGTGTTGGTAGCTGTCCATCACCTGTTGACTGTTTGATGCTCCCATTCAAGGTAGTAGCCTTGAAAGTGCAAGACCTCCCCCGAATTGATCCGTCTGCATAGAGTCTCTCTGGTTTTTTCTGACAGCGGAAGAACATAAGGAATCCATTGCGGTAGTTCTTATTCATCCAGCCATAGAGCAAGGGGTTTGCAAAAGTGGAACACATGGCTATGACATGAAATACTGTATAAAGGAGTTTATAGTCATGGAGGGCAAGTGCCATACCTAAGTCTGCAGCAAGCTGGAAAGCATGGAAGGGTAGCCAAGAGACAGCAAACACCACAACGACCATGAAAAGCATCTTTGTGGTCTTTTTCCTGCGACAGTGAGTGTCATTTCTAGCAGAAGGACTAATGTGGCTTTTCAGTTTGAACCATATCCTGATGTAGGCATAACAGATGATAGAAAGAGGAAAGACATATTGCAGGATGAGCATGGATAAGCTGTATATAGTGGCATCCCTTTTGTCAGAAGGCCATTTCTCTGAGCAGACAACTATTCTGAGGTTGATGGATGGAATTTCTTCATATCTGTATTCTCGAAAGATAGCCAGTGGACTAGCTAGGAGAGCAGCAACCAGCCATGTAATCGCTATGATGGTGAAGCTGATTTTCTTGGATATTCTACTGTCTAAATGAAAAACAATACATCTGTACCTATCCAGGGCAATCACAGTTAACGTGAGAATAGATACATGAACACATAAAGCTTGAGCAGAGGACACCAAATGACAAAGTACAGCCCCAAACTTCCATTCATCCAGCAGAGTATAAGCCAAAGTAAAGGGCAAGCAAGTATCCACCATTAAATCTGCCAGAGCTAAGTTAGCTATGAAAAAGTTGGTTACAGTCCTCATGGTTTTGTATCTCACTATCATGTAGATGACCAAGGAGTTGCCAATGAATCCCAGCAGAATGATGAGAGAATAAGCCATTATCAGTATGATTTGGACTCCCAAGATCTTGGTGCTATCCATTATAAGTTCACTGGATCCATCTTGAAATCCCTGACTGGGGGTGACAAGACTGTCTGCATGCCAGCGAGATGGTGACTTCTTCTCTAATATATGCTCATCCAAGATGCTGGTACTGTTGACTTGACCAAGCAGTCCCATGCCTATTTTTTTGTATTTATATAAGCCCTGGGTTGACAGTTAGTATTATGTTTTTTTCTTTTGCCTGCAGAAAGAGAAACAAGTATAAGATTGAAAAGAAATACATTTAAAGACTTTAGTTTATAAGTTATCAAATTCAGCATTTCCAATTAAACTCTAAATTAATGCAATCCTCATGCACATTATAAGTTTATGGTTTTCATGCACAGCTGAATGCAATATCGGAAAGAAAAAAATTAGCCTCTGTAGATCCCATTATATTTGCATGATAAAATTACCGTAAATCTGACCAAAGAGCAAAAAAAAAAGTTTGATCCTGACTAAATTCACATTATTTTTCACAAAAGATGTTTTTTCTTTGCAATTCTATTTATCTAAAATTGAATGGGTTAAAAAATAATCCTTCCAAATGTCATGCTAATAGCATCACATAAACCAGACCACCAGTTTGGCTATTAGCAATTGCTTGCGATTGGCCTACAATCTGCCTTTGTGCTCTCTCGTGACCTTGCCTCTGCTTGTCAGAGTAATTCTATTTGCATGAAGAATGGCAAGGAAAGTCAAAATATAAATTAACAATGATCTAGAAATACAATAAACTCTGCAACTGTTTTGTTCATCAGTATACTTAAGGCTTCAGTTCCTTGCCCATATAATTGGATATAAGTATATGATGGGACTGAGTGAGCAAGATCCTCCACTAAAGACTAACTTAGACAACATTTTAGCAGTTTTTGATCCAAGGGATGCTAAACAACTATAGGAACCATGTTTTACATTCTTCATAATACTCCCAGCAAGCCATTTTGGATGGGCCAACGCAGATCTTTAGGAGCTGATATTATGATACAGTTGCTGTTGGAGAGCAACTATCCTGGTTGGGAAATGGGCTCAAGAGAGGAATCAGCCTGCACTTGCTTTAAATAAAAGGGCTAGGTTTGACCTTCCTTAAATGCCTTAGAGTAGGGGTCCCCAACCCCTGGTCTGTGGACTGGCACTGGCCTGCAGCATACCAGAAACTGGGCTGTGCAAGCAAGTGAAGCCCCATCTGTAGGATGGAGGCAGAACATGAAACCATGCCCCCTCCAATCTGTGGAACAACCTCTCTCCATGGAACCAGTCCCTGGTGCCCAAAAAGTTGGGGGCCGCTGCTTGGGAGCCTTATCTGGTTGTTCCCAGGCTAAAACTGCCAGTGTGAGGAGAATCCTCTGTAATAGGCAGAGAACAATAAAGTAGCTAGTCTGAACACTACACATGTGGATCTGCTTGTTTGCACCTGACAGTTGCTGTGTTCATGTAGCACAGGGCTGTCAAACTCGCAACGTCATGAGACGTGTCACTACGTGTTGCGACTTTTTTTCCATTGCCAGCAACAGGGTGGGTGCAGTTTCACTATGATGCATCCTGCCCGCGGGCCGGCAGTTTGACACCCCTGATGTAGCACAATAGGCTATGGTTTGCTTATCCATAGTTGGTCAGATAAATTGCAATTAGTTCACAAACATAAAAGTTGGACCTATGCCCAGAATTCCCAGCATGGGCATAAAACAAAAACATATTTTTTTATTTGGAAAGGTTTGGCAAGTTAAAGACAAGATAGGTGCCGTAAGGCCCACAAATTATCAATTCACTTTACTCTATAAAATAAGCAAACTATCTTTTTGCTTAGTAAGTTATATGGTCCCGATCTATATTAAGGATTTTTTAAAAGTAAGACTGCATGAATGTTACTGTTTTCTGCCTTTCCTACCATCTGGTAAGTCCATAGACTGGGATAATGAGCTCACCATAGGGGACAAGGAGTCTCTTCAGAGCTGTCCTGCTCCAAATAAACATACATAAGACCAGTCTAAATCAAGACTGGCCATACTGTGAAGACTGAATGAAGCAATTGTTTAAGGCAGTCGATGTTGGGAAAGATGAATGGTGCCTCCCAATGGCTCCTATTGATCTCCTAGGGTGTTTTGTTGGATGAAAGATGTACAGTATATACACTACCTGAACCCTAGATATAGCAAAACAGATTATTCAGCTGACAGTCCACCTGACTTTTGTATATGGAGTGAGAAACCAGCATGTTTATGTTTTGGATAAAGGACAGGGAATGTCTTAAGCCATTCCCTGAGAAAGATAAAATATTAACTATAAGAGAGATGATAAATATAAGGGCCCTTATGTCTCCTTGTTGTAACTTTTAGAATCCTTACTACATACTGCTGTATGATTTACTTGATCCTTTTCAAAGTTCTTAGGGCAAAATAACAAAATTGACTCATCCATGCTTGTCAGTAATGTCATAGATGGGCTTCAAATATGTATATAGCAGAAGAAATATAGATTATAAGTTTATGGCCTAAACCACAGGTCGGCAACCTGCGGCTCCAGAGCCACATGTGGCTCTTTAAAAAGCCTTCCCCTGCGGCTCCCAGCCTCCTCTGCCATTTGCAGAGACAGAGACAGAGAGAGGCACTTGCCTTCCCTTTTCTCTGTGTGTGTGTGTGTGTTTGTGTGTAAAAAAGAGAGTGGACTCACACGGTGTTCTCTCGGAGGAGCTGAAAACCTTATTGGGCGGAGATCCTCCCTTTGCTGCGTCTCTGCAGGAAACAGGAAGGGCAGGAGAGAGCTAGCCCAGCTATGCTGACTCAGGAATTCTGGGAGTTGAAGTCCAAGTGGCTCTTTGAGTGTTTTGGGTTGCCTACCCCTGGCCTAAACATTTAAGAATATTTTGCCAAAGCTATAGGGGGAAAATCAGAATCGCTGCCTTTTAGCCAGTTTGGTCATTATGCCTGTTCACTGATTTGATTCTTCATTTCCAGCACTGTATCTCTAATGGCTTAGCCACATGTGATTAATCTCTTGGATCTGTGAAGGTTTTCTTCTTGGTTTGAAAGCAAGTGTGTCCAATTATTTCACAGAACAAAGTTCATAACACCTCTAGGGAGCTCCAACAGGAATTTAGACTGCTTGGCTGTAAAACTCTGTTGCTTGAGATGTTTGACGATGAGTGGGAAGAAGGGCCTGGTTAGATTGGTCTCAGCTACTTCCTTTCCTCCTCAGTTGTGTGTGTGCGTGTGTGTAAATATTTTACTGGCTCTTAGAAACTGACACCATGGAATTAAATCAGAGCAATGAGCTTGGCAGCAGGCTCTGTAGTGTGACCACTGAAACACAAATTAATCTGCCTGTATGGTGCTCCGGATATAACACTTGTTGCTTTATCTTCTTCACTGCTGCTCCAAACATTTGTTATTTTTTGTGTCTCCCTTAAGCTGTAGATGTCATATTGACCCAGGATTTTCTTTATGAGTTTCTAGAACTGCATAGCTGATGAGATGCAATATGGACATAATTTAGCTTAAGTTTTCGGATGCTACCACATTGTTTGTGCAATTTATCTTCAAAGTTATACAATTAGGATTATCTTTACTATGTTTGATTCTTAGTATGCCTGATGTTTCTTTCTGTTTTTTCTCCCTTTTTCCTCCTGTGCTGAAATCTATAGCCTAAATCATAGGCATAGGCATACAACAAGGTGAATAAAGGGTAATAATTGAATTCCCTTCCAGCTTTTTCCATGTTGTTCATGAAGCAGCTACTATATATAGAAGCATGTTAGATTAGGCTGATGCAGTACTTTCTATTATTAAATCTAGACTTCTATTGTAATAAAAATATAAATCAAATTATAGTAGCAACAGCAGATTAGATCAGCTTATCACAGTGTATTATAAATTTATTTTCAATACTCTTACTCAGTCCTGTGGGTTCAGTTCTTCTAACTCAAGTTAAATAATACATTTGAAAATAATAATAAATTTCATTTTAGCAATAATAGTCTAAATAAATTCTATTCACCTCTAGTTATTTGTTCCCAATTTGCATTTTCATTGAGAATGCAAGAAGGAAGATTATTACAATTCCAAATTAAAATAAGTCTTCGCCAGCTACATTGACACAGATGAGCAGTTCCAGTTAGGTTTGAACTGGCATTAATATTCATGTACTGTGTGTACAAATGTCAGTTCACACAAAATATCAAACTTATTGTATAGTTTCTTTTGTGCAAGCCCATGAGAGCATTTTCTTTAAAATTGTCATATTATATCCAGTTTCTCACATCTCTTTTAAATGGATTGAAATGAGTAAGGGGTATCCAGCAGGCTGTTGATAAAATGTTTTCTTAATATCTTACTCAACCCCAAATAACATCTGGCCAATAGCATAATGTCTAAAGAGCAGCCCAACAGCCACTTATATAGCATGGCTAACTTGAGCCATTAAGCCAGTTGTCTCAAAGGGTTTTTAAAAAAATGGGCTGATGTTTTAGAATTAATTAATTAATTATGCCTATAATTATTGCAATGCTATTTCAATTTGATCAAAGACAGTTTGTGATGCTTTGGATTGTTCAGAGGCATATAATTAAGTTCTATCTAACCAAAAGCAAAGTCATTAAACTCACTGAAATGTTCATAGCCAGTTGCCACTTTCGGCTGGATTATACAACGCCACCTCTGGCATTAATTTTGTGTTGTAAGAATGAAGCAATGGCTATGCAGACTCACTGACTGAGCCAGACAGAAATATTTATTGCAGTGTCTTGACTATGTCCTATACTCATAAAATCCCAAGAGGCTATTAATTTTTTTTAACCTGATAAACATTGGAGAGCTTTTCACGTATCTGTCCCCCACTGGAATAATAATTAAGCAGTATTGCTCCAGACAGTTAAGACAATGTTGAATGAGCTGGTCTAGTGTGTTGGACAAAATGCAAGACTTGGGCCGAGAATTATGTGAAATCAAATGACTGTTGAATTATAATTCAACTGTTTTAATTATAATTTGCGTTCTTGGGGTACACAAGCAAGCATGCTTTCAACCTAATTTTTTTTTTGCTAAGTCTTAAACTAGCACCAGAAAAAAGCTTGTGTCTTGCTTATTTAAACTGGCTTAAACGTAATTTAATTATTACCATTTTCTTTGCATCTTGACTCTCTGTGGTTT